GGGCCGGGCGGGGCCGCGCCGAGCTGTCATCTGGGCTCGCAGTCCTGGAAACTGAGGCTCCCGCGAGCGTGCGCGCCCCCGCCGGCCAAGGTCACAGCCGCCACGGCGGCGGGGCTGCGCTCGAACTCGCGGAGGGCTCTGAGTGAGCGGCCGACGCGCAGGAACGCTTCTCCCATCTCCTTCCCTTGCGGGTGTTGTCGTGGTTACTGACGTCCGAAAGCATCCGCGATATTGTTGCCCAGTTTTCAGATGGAGAAACTGAGGCGGGAGCGGGCAGCGCTGCAGCTTGCAGGGGGCTGAGGCCTGGACAGCTGCCAGGCGGGGCCCCTGAGGCCGCCGTGGTGCACTAGCCCGGGGGCAGCCATACCCTTGTCCTGCGATGGCCACGGCTGTCCGTGTCACACGCTGTGCACACGTAGCCTGGCCTGCAGCCAGGCCTTGGGCTTTGGCTCCCTCCTCCTTTTCTGCATAAGGCTCAAGCATGCCACTTGATCTGTGCCACCAGTCCGGGCTTTTTGCTGACAACTGGAGATGTGTGGGTCTAGGCTGCCTTTGGACCTCTGTCTTCAGATCTCAGCCTCCTAAATGGCACGAACCGCTAGCGCCTGACTCTCCTGACATTCGCTTGCTCGCTTCCTCAGCTGTGAAGGGTGCAGAAGACTTCACCAAAGGGATGAGTGATAGTCCATTTGTGGATGTGATAAATGTTTGTGGACTCGTGTGGGTCAATCTCTTTCCTAACAGACACAAAAATAACTCCCAGTTTTGTTTATACACATACACAAATATACTGCATATATACAGTAAATATATATACACACACAATGAGAACCAAGCACTCAAAGGGCTAATGCAGGAAGGTCACACATTCCAGGCCAGCCCGGGCTACAAAGACCCTGAACCCAACAATACCAAGAAAAGTAACAGCCCCCGACGATTTTCCTCCTAGAAACATAAGCACGTGTACAACTTGCTGAGGGCGGAACCCAGGACCTTGCCCGTGCTGGGGAGAGTTCTACCTGTGATCTACATTTCCAGACTCCGGTGTAAGTAAAGCAAGTGCAAAAGAACAAGAACAAAACACAGGCAACCACAGTGGGGGCTGACTTCGACTGGAGAGTGATCTGGGTTCTTTTGCTTTTCTTTTTTCTTGCTTAAGCCCATGGCTGCGACACAGTCACATGGTTCTTGAGCAATCTCAGAGACACAGAGAGTGAGTAGATGAGGAGAGCCCGGGAGCAGCAGAAGCCAGCGCCCGGAGGAGGCAGCAGAGGGGCAAGGGAGGGCCAGGCGGAGGGAGGCGGGCGCTCAGCCCTCCTGGGCCCTGAAGACTGCCAGCAGGCAAGGCCGGGCGAGGCCCCACCAGGCAGCTCCTCCTCCTACACCTGGAGAGGCAGGCAGATCCCAGGATGAAGGATGCTAGGGAAGATGGTCTCACCCGGCCTGGCGCAGGTCACAGCACCCCGGCTGGAGGGAGCTGCGAGATTTCCTTCTCTGTCCTTTCTCAGGCCCAGTCTCTGTTATGGCTGATGGGTCACCTTCAAGGACCGTGTGCCTTGACCTGATATTGTGAGATCACAGAGGTGCTGGTGGCTCCCGCCTGCCATCCTCCATACTCGGGAGGCTGAGATCTGAGGGTCACAGTTCAAAGCCAGCCCGGGCAGCACCGCCTCTGCGGTGGCCCGCACTCCCCACTCCACCCCCCAGCCGGGGCCTCCAGCCCGGGGCCCCTGGGAGCCAAGGGCTCCTGGGGAAAAGGACCCGAACCGCGGTCGGCGCGGCGGCCGCTGTTTCCCCGGGCGGCCGCCAGGGCGCG